TAAAAAGTTTGGTGCACAACTAACACAGCAACACACGTAAAATACAGTAATTCCAGAGAAAAAGCAGGATCCAGCGCATGCCAGCCCACCGACTCCCGAGACGGCGGGGTGGCCAAGCGATGACTCGGTCGAGAGGAATGAAGGACCTCATTTAGAAGCTGGCCTCGGCTGAAGCTTCCCGACTCCCTGGTTGGGGTCCGAAAGACGATGAACACGTTTGGCTTGATACACTTGTTGACATGGCTAAGAGCAGACCTCAGTGGCGTTCCTGCTGTGAGTTTCTTTGACTCACCCCATCCTTCTTAGTTTACCATCAAACCACGATCTCACTATTTGGCCTTATATTATTTTGCATGGTAAACTATTTTTTTCGGTTGCATAGTAGCCGGCTAGTAGCTTACCGGAACGATGCCCATCCGTTACCGGTAGCTCAGCTGGCTTGCACCTGTTGCACTTCCTCCCCTTTGTTGCTTTTATGTAGTATGGCACAGTAGCTGAGGTGTTTCCCACCTATAGCTAACTTGTATAATGATGCGCAAAGGCACCAATTACGATACGGTGAAATTTCCGTCATTCTCTGGTTGAAAGATATAAAGAAAGAGTAAGCCGGAGAATCGGCTTTGAAACTGGCTCAACATCTGAATGAGTCTGGGAAGCTTTCGTTTGCAAGAAGTTACTCCTATATTTACATCCTTCAATGGGACAACACGTGGAATCCATGAGTACGTGGGATGATCCAGACACGACACCTTTCGATAACGAGTCAGGCTATTTCGCATGCCAAGCTGACTTACTGTGACATCCTTCGCATACTAGGCTTACATACATCCTGGTGCAAACGTAGGCAGTGTATAATCGGCAATAGCATACACATGAAACTATCATGGTCATTTCGGAAGAAAATATTGTGCGTAATTGATAAACCGTAAGATACATACCATGCCCAACAACTCCGGCATGTAAGCAGGATGCTTTTGGAAAAATTAGGTGCAGAAGCACAGTGTGTCCACTGGCTACCACGCATCGAACTGCTGCTTACCATGTGGCAAGGACAGCGCGCCTGTTAACGTATCACGTGAGCGTGACTTGAGCTGGCGCGGTGGTGCGCATCTTACTTTGAAAACTCCACCTCTCCTACTGCTTAGTACAAAAGTAAGCTGGTGCAGCGCCATAATGTATTAGTTCAATACAGAACCACCGATACCTCTGTGGTGCGAAACTTATGCAGTATATCGTTCAAGTGTCCACCTCAACAAAACATGTGCAGTTCTTTTCTCAGCTTGAGGGTGGACACCTGAGAGCTATGTTGGACAAAAGTATCCAGACACTGCTAAGCGTCTCACAGTATTTTATTTCTTTAAAATAGTACTCGTCTGGAGGGCGAGATAGGAATGAAGCTTAAGCCATTCATAGAAAATAACTGGAAGAATTCGAAGTTTTACAATGTTCAGCGGTTATTCTAAAGTAGACTATCTCAAATGAGGTGATCATAAATTTTGAATTTTCATTACACCCCATTGTGTTATAAAAAATTGAGGGCAGTGAAAAAGTGAAGACGGTAGACGAAATATGCTCTGTGAGATCGTCCACTATACATAGAAAAGACAAGTCATACGGTACTGCAAAGCGCGATTCCCTTAAGTGGTACGACTCAAACAAAAATTTTGGAAGTTATTTATTTTGGTTTACCCACTGGTTTACCGACAGCATCCATCGATTGAGGGATGCTATTGCCTCGAGTCTAGACCCCTCATTCTGCCTTGAGGAATTGCGACGTCGTAAGATCCCGGGTAATATATCTGTCAGAAACATCGCACATCATCTGGAGCTAAGGACCTTGTCGACAGCACAACTGGACCGCATCCTCATATGCACATGTTCAACAACATGGTCCTATTTCGATGGTTTTCCGAGCTTTTGTTGTCCATCCTAGGATGATGGATTGGTTGTCCACTAACTAACTGGAAAAGGGTGCGAGAAATCTGTCGGACAACCGTCAGATAAGTCCATTCATGGGGCAGCTGTCTCAGTTCACCCCACTTGCACATTCGATCTAAGCAAATAGTACACATTTTCCACATCCCGGATGGCACAGTCGAAGTCATCTTGGTGAACTTCGTTGAGGAACATAAACAATCAGAGATCACAGTGCGACATGTATGCCTGTAAATCGTTTGTGTCGATGCAATCAGGTTTTCGCTATTTTTTCGAACCAAGAATGGGACAGGACTCAGAGTGGAAACCCTGAAAAGTGATATGGTTGCATGAAGTCCATGACTAATAATAATGAATAATGTGTCAGCTTTAAGACGTAACGGCGCTTTGTTGCCGCGTGACCACCACCAGTGGCGCGCGGGCTGAATATACCGCGAGGGCGCCCAACCCTACACGGATTGGAACCCAGCACGCAGACTACTCCGCCACCGGCTGGTCAATGATTGCTGAGCGACGCAATCTTGGCTCTCTTGGATTGGCAGGAGCAGCCCCATTTCCTCACATCGTTGCTAACATTTGGGAAGGAACATGCAGTAGTCCGTACTAATGTGCTCACTGGAAATTTCGTGTTCGGATGGCTGCAAGGAAAGATGAGTTATGAAATAAACTAGTTTAACTTAGGCGTGGACCCTTTCAGGGCAACCAGGCAGGTTTATTCCGGTTGGCATTTGTGCATTATGGAGTTATCTTGACGGCGTGGGTGAGCGGAGCCAGAAACCACTATCCGTAGCTAAAAGCTTCTATCAGTTTTACTTCAATTTAACCACTTAGCTTTGGGCACATTAACATAGCAGATCCAGACCAGCCCGAACCACATCAGTCGCAACCTCGTGAGACATCGACACAACGCCACCGACGGCATTCGGCCGAGCAGTACAGCCGCCTGAAAGATCACCGAACTATTTCCCCCCAGAGAAGATCCGTTGTAGAAAGTTCTTACAAATGAAGTGTAGATTTGCTCGCGTAGCGGAGCAATTTATTTTGTTACTTCATTTGTAAACCTTTTGTCAATAGTCGACGTAGCATCATCAATGCGTAATGATCAAAAGCTTGTCAGTGGCAAAAAATAGTTCAAGTAAATCCGAACAAGGATGATTACAGTTACAGGGCTGAACTTTATATACAATCCAGGCGTTAGTAACCGAGATTAATCTGAATTCGGTCTCTGTTACAGCACGGCGGGGTTCTCGTATGTTTATTATTGGTTGACGTGGTTGACTTAGCTTGGCTCCTTCCGATCTCACATGTGAATAATCGTACTGATCAGGAAAAGCAGTTAAGCAGGCTTCTCTGTTCGTTGTTCGGTCGCTACATTTTTCTGTCTTAACTTACCGTCTATAATCTGTCAAATGTGATTGAAAGAAGCGGAACCACACGGGAACAACGTTTACAACAACCAATAAGAATCATCCGGGAACCCTTCGGTATCGTAACAGAGAACAACTTCGGATGGATTGTACATGAAGTTCAGCCCCGTAGCCGTCAGCATCCTATTCTGGATTTGACTGAAACACAGTTACTGCTAACAAGTTATTTGCGCTTGCACAATGTAGCTGCCGACCTGAATGGTGCGGAAACATCTGTAACCGAACTACTCAGCACGGTGAGTAATCCAACGTTTCGACTTCCAACTCGAACTTCTGATATTCCGCGTTGTAACATAGTTCATACAGCTCACGTCGTTTTCTGCAACCCATTTAGCAGCATTTAGAAATCTACCTTAAGGTTCATTAAGCCATCTGCGTTACTCGATATAGCAAGTGCTTATCCGAGGGACAACATAACGCAATGGTACGGAGTATTCAACAGCTCCCATAAAAATAGGATCGAGGAATTCGTGGCTATTGCAATATGAGAGCCACAGTTAGTCCGGCGATACGAAACTCAGTTTGTCTTTAACATTTCGGCTTTGGTTGTTCACAACCAAGAGATTCCATAGGGACGCGTTGGATTTTGGCTTTTGTACTCGTAACGAACTATCACATAGTTTAATGTTAGATGACAATGACAGTAATACCATGATTTCCTATCGACGCTTCTCTTTTATGTCTGAAAACAAATGTGCCCTCTCTTGTCTGCGAGAAGTGCCGTGAATTCCCTACTGGCTCGGTTACCGACCCATTTTGCGTTGTGCCGCAATAAAACTACTCTCATTTGCAGCTAATTTACCGTACAAGAATCCGACATTGACACAGTGTCACTGCTACTCATCAGCGTTAAATTGTCCGAGTTATGAAAAGCGGGCGTATTTTATCCAGAGTCATATTGGATAAGCCCATTTCGCAGACCGCATTTGTGAGGATTATACCCTGCAACATTAAGGTCCACGCACAGCCTCTTGTGTCGAGTCCAAGTGATCCGACGCACATCGACAAAAGGAAGCGTAAGACGAGCAGGGACAAGGTTACTATTATCAGATCACGGCACTGTTATCTAGTAGACCAACAGTAGCCAAGAGCAAGCAATTAAGTAAAAACACCAGACTGAGGCAGCCAATAAGGGAGAAGCCACATAGAGCAAACACCAGACACACGCAACAAGGCGTACTAGGTAGTGTTAATATCAGGCGTAAAAATAAGTTAAACCAACAGAAGTAGTAATTGTTAATGGCTAAGAAAGCAATCAAAATGTTGCGGTTAAGCAGACATCAATTGATGCCCGAATTAACAGCGTAGGCTTACACTTACGAGCTTTCACATAGGGCAAGTCTCAAGTTAGCGTTTCCCCTAACATGGCAAAAAAGATGCAGGGAAATGAAGGAGTTGAGGAGATCTCACTGTGGGGAATTCCAAAAACCGGTGCATACTAAACCTGGGATCAATTGGTCAAGCACACGTCCAGATGGCTAACCTAGTAGCCAATTAGTCTGATTAATTCGCTATCCTCACATAGACCCACAGATTAGTAACAATTGTAATCAATGGGCAAAGCGACAAACCATTGTATACGCTCACGATTACACTGCATTTTTGATTAACAATTTATGCGTTCCGCATATCACTCACCTTGAAACTGTCGAAAGCCTTGTTTTGCTCATGTAGGAACATAATTCCTATGAAGAATACAGCACCGATTAGAAGGACGAGGACCAGGATGATGGCCCACCAAGCACCCTCCTGTAGAAATCGCAGTCCAGGTAGTAGCAATGCAGCCAATCCAGCTGCACAAACGATGTATGCCAAAAGGGCTATAATCGGAGCTCGACCAGGTTCAGAGTCACGCAGCACTGGAAGATGACGAAAGGCGGATTTCAGTCGACCAATCGCATGCGGCCATTCGTGCAACACCGTCTCACTGGTCTCAAAAACTTGCTCTCCCGTAGTCGCGTTCTCCGCTTCTGACTGGAGTGCACAACAAAAGAGCATGAGAAGCGAATAAAACGCGTTTCATCGCTAGCAGTGTGTTAAAAGACACACAACCATCATGTTGAAATCACCGTGAAGTTAACCATGGTAGATAGCTCCTTGTAGCGAAGAGGGCAAAGGGGGCATAACTGTGACTTGTACACACTTGGCGGAAAGTGTCACTTCAAGTGCTGACGTTAAATGCTCTTATCATCGGCAAAACTCGGCTTTCCCATAATGTACTGAACCAAAACGCAGCACATAGGAACAACGTTTGCAACAACTAGTAAGAAACATCCGGGAACCCTTCGGTGTCGTAACAGAGCACCACTTCGGATGGCATGTACCTGAACTTCAACCACGTAGCCGTCAGCATCCTATTCTGGATTTGCCTGAAAGTCAATTATTGTTAAAGAGTTATTTGCAGGATAATTGTATGAAACACTAATAACCAGACCCCATAAGTGTCGCTAACGATTTATCATACACGACGCCGCTGGAAGGAGATGGTCGTGACAAAGGGCGCGCGCGGTCGAGGAGGCAACAAGTTGAGATTCAATACAAGTAAACACCCAGTTTGCCGCGGAGCACGCCCCTCGGACGTTGCCACCACAAAGTGCTTGATCAGCCCCATAAGTATGTGGGTCTATAAAGGAACAAACTATGACAATACGCGGTCTTATCAGGCACCCGTACATCAAATATAACCACCCGAATAAGGGCGATGTAGCTGAGATCTAGAGGGTGGAGACTTGGTGGCGCCGAAATCACTGTGACTATGTGATTAATCGAGTAAGCGGTTTATCCCCCTGGTGCGGCACACTACGACGGATTTCGTCCTTGGTTGGACTCATCAGGTAAGGAGGCGCGACAAAATCTTCTGATTTTGGATCACGAATGTTCCGTTGCTTGGAGCAGATGTAAGACATTGGTTTCTCTAACGTGGAGCTCAATTCCCTCCGCGTCCACATGAAAGTGCTCGTCCTGATGGGGGTGTGCGATATCAATAACCAACCACGAGACCGATCATGGAAACTAGACCACGATAGCAATTCCAGCGAATGTTGGAATTTCTATGGAATTGAACCGGCTAGAGCTGCTTCGCTCTCAAAATGTTTTATGTTCCGCGTGAGCTTTACGGAGTATGCGCAGCAACGTCACATCTGTGATCTAAGACAGGGCTGTATGGTCCAGAACAAAAACAACACTGCGAGATCTCAGGAACCAGAGAAAGCAGCTGCAGGGTAAAAAAAATAAGCTATTTGGACTAACCGTTTCTGTAGCAGACAATTCACCCCAACCAGAAGAGTAGAGCTGGGGTTGGCAGTACCGCAAAATACACACATTCACCGCGACAATGGTGTAGGCGATAAGGGTGCCGATGCTTAGGAAGTCGGCCAAGATGTGAATATCGCAGAGGACAGTGAGTACGGCGGAGAAGGCGCCAAAAGTGGCCAAGGCCACAATGGGAACCTGAAAAATGAGAAAATGGAAGATAAACAGGGGGGAGAGTGTAGGGGTCGGGGCATCATTAGAGCACATGTGCTGATAAGCGAAAAACGAACGGCTTGGTGTGGATACTTTGTTCTTCGAAAGTCTATAATTCAAACGCATTATAAAGTGCATAGCGAGCTACGTCTCATAAACCACAGGTGAGCAATGTTCTGTACTGCGAGACCACACAAACTTTGTTTTGGGGAATCAGGTAAGGAGAAAAAACTGAGTCACTACATTTGGACTAAAGAACACAGATATGACTCATGTGGAAAAGCACCCAACAACTGGTTCTCTAGATTAGTAAGGGCATTTTTCTCTATTTCTTCTATATAAACGCTACTATTGTTTTCTTCATGAAAATAAGTCTCCAGGTCACTTCAGCTGCGGCCTGCATGACTAATGCATTAATTGGGGGTCAGTCCACAATTCAACGCTTTCCCGGATACGTGGTAGTTGCATAAGTGGTTTTGGCAGTAACAAGCCGAACTGAAAATCTCTAGGGACCTCCATCACATAGTTAAAGATATTGATTTTCTCACTTACACAACAATTAGTCGCACAGATTTATGTGGTCGAACCATGGCACTGATGCTTACCGGTATTCCACTGTTAGTGAACTGATGGAATGGGGGATTTGTCACTGGCAAAAGCACACAATGCTCAACAGGTCTCTTGGGTGAAAAGAGGCACTCGTTGTGTGCTTGGATTTATAGGCGCTATCTCAATGTGGACTGAGATTTAAAATGGAAGTGAACCTAGGATTGTAGCTGAAGCGTAGGTGAATTGCGTGTTGCTCGCCCGGAAACACTGTACCTCCCGATGCATTCGACCATATTCGATCCCGTCAGATAGAGATAGCAGGCCTTGAATTCGGGACTACTGGAAGGATAGTTGGAGCCTGTATTACTTTGGCCACCAGGTCACGAAGGGCAACGCCTGGTACAACGGTGGATGACTGATGTGAGGGTCATTTTAAGGTACTCGTTGTGTGATTGGATTGCCACGCGCAATCTCACTGTGAACTATAATTCGCACTGAAGCGAAGCTTGACCAATGCTGAGTAGTAAGACCATGGCTGAAGAGTTACCCGTCATGATCTGGTGGCTAACATGATAGAGGTTCCAACTAACATCCCAGTGGTCCAGGGTTTGAAACCTACTATCTCTACCTGATGAGATCAACCAAGGTAGAAACGTGTCTGATATGTGGCAGATGACTTTTGCGACATCGAAGTGTAGCATTCTAGCGTATGGATGTCAGATGGCAGCAGAAGTGTTCAGGCTTCATGACGAAGTCATTCCCATCAACCGGTCTGTTCTTGACTTAGGTTTAAGATATTCTAGTTCATTAAAATTTGGCGAACATACAAATCGTATCGTGAAAAAGCCGAGGCAGTCGGTCGGGCTCATATCCCACTTGCTAAACTTGAAAGAAACCAGACTAATTGTTTTCAAAATCAGCATCAGGCCTTTGCTTGAATATTGCTGTGTTACGTTCAGTAACTTGCGAAAGGCTGACTTGAGAGCCATTGAACACGTCCAACGCCCGTTAACGAAGCGCATATTTGGCTATTCAACCGCTCTTTCATTCAGAGATAGGTGCAAGCAGTTGAATCTTGAACCGTTGTGGTTACGAAGAATGCAATTAAATCTGTGCTTCCTCCACAAACTTGCGTGGCGGAAAGCATATCTTGGAACCTCTAAATTGCACTTTCGTGCAAATGCAAGTTACGAACTGCGAGATAGTGGATGTATGTTGCATTTACCTTAACTCAAGACAAGCCCATGGAGAAATTTCTACCTTCTTAGGTATGGCTCCATATGGAATAAGCTGCCAAAAGAGATTAGATGTATTGAACATTTGTGCATGTTCAAGAAAATGATAAAGGCTTATCTGTCAACGGACAGAGTGAAAAAGATCTTAAAAAGTCAATTTGATGATGAAAGCTGGGTGAAGAAGGGTCGGATCATGTATGAGACCGGTGAACATCAACTCGAATACATCAGAGAAAACATGATCATCTAGGATGAGCTGCTACTAACCGCTTCTTATGCAATTGTTTAATGCTTCCTCCTATGCGATTTTACTCCTTTCAAACTTAATTCATACCAACCCACTTCTGTTTAAAAACGAGAGCAAAATTATTTACTAGTGGGGCGTCAGGAACTATTTTCGTAATTTTCCCCACAAATTGATTAATTCATGATATTGTTCTGCGATCCTCTTCGCTACATTTGTTCTGCAATGCTAACAATTTCCCCTTCTTTTCTGGAGTTAACAGTCCAGAAACATACTTGAATTCAGTGATGACAATAACGAATCCCCTATGTGACTTTTGCCTATGGACAACTCGTACAGTTATCTGTCTCCGGCTGCCACGCCATACAATTTGATCGTATGATCGGCTGGATCCACTTTTACGCTGATGTAAAAACATACCTGCTTATTTTTTACAATAACGATATAGTGACTTTTTCACACAATAATCCTCTTCTACATGCTTCCTTATTTCATGGTTGGCCACGACTTGGTTGATCTTCTGTGGTGACGGATTATAGCTTCCAGGTTATGGAAGACTTTACCCATGCAAGTCATATTGCCGCAAATTGACTGGCGTATAAAAGGTGCCATACTTGAATGATCCGCATAACGCACTGGACTGAGGCTTCATCGCCCATAATACATGTATAAAAGCAGCCCTAAAACCAACACAATATATGATAAACTGGTGATTGCTCGTATGCTACTATGTCACACCGGCACGCGGCCAGATATAGCATGGAGGTGGGGGCGAAACCTTTCGAGGGAATAACTTGCATGGAAGCAGTTCCCTCTGGGGACAGTTCCAAGAGTGGCCGTATTACTTTAACTGGTCATCTGTTTAACTCTGCGTATGTTATTATTCCTCGTTTTTTAATTTGTTTAATGACTTAACCCTGCCAATTACTTTGGTACCAGTTTCGGATCCATTATAAATAGCGTGAACAAATTGGTTATTTTTTGCGATCCTGTTGTACACAATGATCAGACCACATAGACTGCACCTCGAATCACCAAGGAATACACCATTTATTTATTGAGTGCAGAATAGCGCCCGTTGTCGAATCAACAGTGAGATTAACATGTGCGCATGATATGGATATCTTACGTGTTGCACAGTGAACTCGGGTCAAAGCGTGTACTGCAGGCGTAGAAAGGCATGCTCACATCGGACAGCACGTGAGCAGGAATAAGGGGAATCCGAACGACGGTATTCCGCGATTGACATACGCGGAGGCAGCATATGTTCCACGGCATTCTGGCCGGCTATACTGTGTAGTCAACTTTAACCGGTGGCCTCGGAGAGAGTGTCTAAGCTAGGTTTCAATAAGTGACATATGTGGGGTCCGAGTACTTTAGGACCTGAATATACCGTTATAATAACGAAATGAAGATCTAGCTATTGTTCCACATAAGCTCCTGGATCTATCTAGCTAAGCAACCAATAGAGTTGAAACTGATGTTAAACCTCTTTATTTGCTCTTCGATGTCTGCAATCTCAGATGCAGTGAGATCATAATTCGACCAGAGCTGCCAGACCTGGATGGCGTACTTAATGTGAGAACTCACGTAGACAATAGCAATTTGCGGAAGGACGCTGAGGTCGTAATACACAAAGGCTCCAGCCGTAAGTTAAAATATTAGCTGCCTCTGCTTGTACATCTTTTTTCAGCACCTATTGCCATCATATACGAGAAATAAGAGAAAAAATCCATGAGAAGCGCGCCATACAAGGTGCTGCACTCCGAGCCAAAAATCGTGGGTACCATGGTGGCTAATGTATTTGACTGCGACCTAGCAGAAAGTGGGTTGCTACCTACTGTTTTGGTTTGCCTTATTAGTGTACATTCTGGTAAACCCCTCGAAGTTGTTTGGCAAGAAACTGAACAGGCTTGCTCGTAGTGCTCGCATAAGTAGTGAAAAAGTAACAGGGAACATTCTCGATCAAGTGGCGGCTAAGTCTCGGAGTTTGTTGCCTTCGCTTATTGGAGAATAGTACGATCATCAGAACGTTTAAATGCTGAGAAAACTGGTTTTATATTGGTACTCGGAGCTGGATGCCTGTTTAACAAAAACCTGTCGCCCTTAAATGCTGATCGAGCCTAGAGAAATAGCAGTGTCGGCAACCTGGCCATTAACACAGTGAACTGAAACTGAATTCCTAAACTCTTCGACGTCCTACTGATCATCGTGATAGCCAAATTAATGAGAGTCTGTCTGGCTCCAGCTCTCCGTCGTTGTATCGATGGTTTAGTTACTCTTCATCGATTTAAAGCAGAGACACGACTACGATGGTTTCCCTGGACGTAAAAGCCCACATCTGCTCTGTTGACCGTGCCAGCTTGTGGTACTGCCTATCTATAAAGGGAGTCCGGGCTAAATTCGTTTTCATTATGCAGTTTCTCCACCACGAATCCCGAGGTCATGTAAAAGTCCATGGGGCAGTGTTTCCTGAGTTTCTCACCGTAAGCGGGGTTCGCCAGGGTTGTTTTCCTCATGAACTTTGTTATCGAAAGGAGCTTGAGTGATCCCGTTCTCTCAGACTCTACGGGGGTGGGAACTCCGCCAGATAACCGACTGACAAAACTTGAGTATGCGGACGACATAGCTCTCCATGGGTCTGACGCAGTGGCTTCGTAAACATTACTGAACAAACTGACGCTTAGTACAGCAACCTTCGGCATATGCTTTGAACTTTCAAAGTTCAAAGTACTATTGCAGGACTGGACCGACACGTCTCCGGTTCCAGCTATGACCGGACAGCCATTGAAATCGATGGATCGGTTGACTTTCCTTGGTATTTGTCATTTGGTGATCACACCGCTGAGGAAGTTACTTCGCATATCAGCAAAGTACGTGTAGCACTTCAGAGGCTGAACCATCTCTATGGGGATGGCGTGATATCTGCATGTGAGTGAAAGACAAGGCGTATAACGCTGCGATAAGACTGATGTTATTGTATGGACCAGAGACCGGGCCGGTATGCAGTAAACACATGGAACGCTTGACCGTGTCTGACCACCGGGGTTCACAGAGCATTACTCGTGTCTAGTTGGAACACCAAGTGAGCAGTGCTG